TTGTGTCTGCATGCATTCATTCACAGGCATTGAGGTGGTACTGAGCGTTTAGGGTACAAAATGATCAGAATCTTATCAGATACATATCAGCATCTGCACTAGTACAAATTGATGGCAGGATTATAGAGTAGCTCAGTCTGCAGTTCTTGGAAAGGATAATACAGAGAGATTTAGCTTAAGCAGGTATGGAAGAAGACTTACAGGATGAAGAAGATTTCTCAGAATAAGGAAGAGTGGAAGGAAAGGCACAGAATTATCAAAGAGCCGGACCACATGAGGAAGAGTGAGTTCCTGGTGTGGCTGGAGCATACGATCTGTAGAAACTTCAAGGGACAAAAAGTGTCAAGAAATAAAACTGAAATATTTGAGGAAGAGGGCCTTTAAAACAAGGGCATTAGAGCTTTGGCTTCTAGACAGTGGGAAAAGAGTACTGAAAACTTTACAGTGGTGGAGGGCAAGATGAACTCTATTCTGTAGAGAGATGAGTCTGCTGCCAATAGTGCTGGGAAAGGCCGGTATGGGAGAAGACTTCAGTGCAAGAAGGAATAGACGCTCCTGGAAGCCTCAGTTGAAGCAGTAACCATGAACCTAGAGCAGAAGGCCTGGCTCTGAGAAAAATTTGGAAGAATGATGAAGAATTAGTAAAATTGAAATAGTGCAAAATTGAAAGGAAAGGAAGTTCATTTGGAATACACTAATTCTGTACTGCCAGAACAACTGGAGACTCTTAGAAATATGAACAAAAAGACTGGAAAAACTTAAGGGCTCAGTGATAGGGGTTTGGCAGCCTAGATCATGTAGTCAAAGCCAGAGGAGTGAATGAGATTGCAAAGGGCAAGCAAAGGAAATAATGAAGAGGTTGATGCTGTAGCTTAAGAAACATAATAAAAAATGATGAAGAAAAATCATGATTCATAGATAATTAGATATGAAAACAAAGAAAAAATGGAGTTTAGAAGAAATCCAAAGTTTTGAGCAGGAAAACTGGTAATATGTGGCTCTATAAGCAAAAATGAGGTAGTCAGGAAAGGCATTTGATAAGCAGTTTTAGCCAAGTAAAAAACAAAAACAAAATGTTTTTTCCCATTGTATGATGTGCTATTTTATGTCTAAATCATTTCCATAATCATGTTATAGTTTTTAAAGGCTGTCTGGCAATCACAACATCTTCAGTGCAGTGTCATATTTTGTATAATTCCTTCAGCTAAGAATCAGAGATCAAATGAATGCAGGACCCACTATTCATTCAGATATTCACTGGGCATGTACCAGGTGCCATGTACTGTGTTAAGTTCTGACAGTATAATCAGACGATATATGTCCTGTAAATAGTTATAGAGAAAAACAGTGCATCAAATACACATGGTGATGTTTATAACTACAAATGTGTTATATGTTTTTAAAAAGCAAATATAGGATTTGTGTAATTTTTCAGCATTTGGGAAATCTGACCTAGCTTGAGTACTGAGAAAGTCTGTGGTAAAGAGGTAATAGTCGAGCTGAGACAAGATACAAGCAAGGAGAAGCGAAGATGGGGACCAGTTTCTCAGAAGGAGGGCATGCCATAGTTGTAGGGCTGGTTAGAGGAAAAAGCAGGTGCTTCTGAGCTGCTAAAACAATTTAGTAATGAGTAGAACAGAGTGATTACAGGAAATGAGCTTTTGAATGGGTCTAGAGATATAAGAAGGGTCTAGAGTATGCAAGATTTGCCATCTCTCTTCGGAGCAGAGGTTTCAGAACATTGAAAAGGCATTAGGAGATAACCTTAAGAGGTAGGCCTTAAGGAAAAAAAAAAAGGGGGGGGGTCGGAACAGGTAGATTGTAAAGAACTAAGTTGGTGGAAAACAAAAGTACCTACAGAAACACAAAGGGGAAAAGCTGTTCAAAACCTGGAGAAGTGATGAATGCTATATGCAGGGTGGGACTGAAGAAGAAAGGAAGTAGACTGATATGTAAGCTGCTTGAAAGACAGAAAGAACAGGACTTGGTGCATTAAGTGGCCTTGATTGTCAGGGAATTTAAGACAACTCAAAGGCTTTTCCCCTGGCTTGTGAGACTGAGAGTATGTTGCTGTCCTCCAGGATGGAGAACTAGAAGAGCACATATGTCAGTGACAGGTGGTAGGTCACACTTCCAGGTATGTTAGGGTGTATTGGGTTTGAGCATATTTGAGCAATCCAAGTGGAGATTGTCCGTCAGGCCTGGACACACAGATTCTGAGACCATAGCTAAGAAGATTATAATTGTGGGAATCACTGAGATTGTTAAGTAAAAAAAAAAAAAAATTGCAGCAGGACATTTTTCTGGACTAAGCTTCTGCTCTAGACCAGACTAAAATCAAAGCAGAGCTGTTAATATTAAAAAATAGAAATGGGGTCACTCATGCTGCTATTCCAAGTCACCAAATTGAAGCTAAGTCATTTACCTGATAATTAGTGCAAATTTACCAGTAAGGCCAATTTCAATTGACATGATGAGATTTCCTCTAATCTTAATCCTTGCATAAGAAAAAAGTAGCTCCTGTCAACCAGTCAGTTGATCTAATGTGAACCAGTCAGGTAGTTTTGTCTTATTCTTTCTGCTTTTTCCTTCCAAGAAAGTAACTTTGAAATGAGCAATCTATTTTCAATCTCTGCTTTCTTCAATCCTTTTCTGACAAAGCCAACTTCATCTACTCAGTGTTGCCTGATTCTAGAGTCAAAAATCAAATTTTAAGATTTTTAAGCTGAATTGTAATCAAGTCCTTTGACAGAATATACACGATCATTTAAAACATGCAAGTTTTGACAAGAGTTTTTGGTTGCAATGTAAGTCTAAAAGAATCTCAGATTGATATTTCTAAAGCAGTTGAAATGTTTAGCAGCCAGGTAGAGAAGCACAACATGGCCAAAGAGAATTGAAAACCTGTGATCATGCTAGTAAGAAAAGCAAAAGTTAAGTGAAAGGTAGAGTTCTGAGATGGTGAGTAGCCGCAAAAAGCACACTGCAGACCATAACACAATGTGTGTACTCTCTGTAGCTATCCCTTAAGCAGAGACAAGTTCCTTTATTACATAATTATTCTCCTTTCTTGGTTTGTTTTTATGTTTATTTTCTAAACACTGGGACCATTCATGCCCTTATCTGATTTTCCAGACATCTTTGGAACAGTACCAGAGAAAAAAATGTAAATTTGAATTTGAAAGTGAACATATTCCTCATTCCTTTGCATTACTGCATGGAAAGTGCACCCAGATCTGGAACATTTCCTCCTCTCACCCCAATCCTGATATCAGTGACTTTTCTCTTCCCCCTTTTGCTATGAACCTGGAAATCCTGAGAAACTACTTTGAGTACTGTGGGTTAGACTTGAGCACCTCACTTCTAGAATTAAAACTCCTGGGCAATCAGAGAGCACCCTGTGATTAAGTAGCTAGCCAGGATGGAAGAAGCTTCTGCTATTTATGGAATGCCTTTCTGGTGCATCCTCCCCTCCTCTTGGTGTAATTATTGTCACATCACAGACTGCCCCCACTTTGACTTCTGCAGCGGTTATCACATAAGGTTCAGGAAGAGAGAAAGCCAGCTGAGAGAGGACCCTCCACACAGAACACAGCTATCTAGGCTCTTTGCAGTGACTGACCCTTACCCTCACCGTTGATGAGCAGAGAGCCAGCTGGCACCAAACCCTGTCTCTCTAGATTAGATAGTGGGCCTGTGGCAATACTTCCCACCACAAAATGACTCCTTTATACAAATGATTCATTTCCAGCCTCCTACTTTGCTTTAAAGAGTCAGCTATCATATGCTGCCTGCCCATGACTCACGACAGCTCCTTTGCCCCAGGAAAATAAACACTCTGAAGGTCCTGACTTCCAGACCCCTCCTCCCAAGCCAAGACAGTCAGATTGCTTTTATGATGAGGCAGCACTGAAGCATCCTGACTAACTCCCCATTGCTGTCCTTTCAGCCAAAGCACCATTGTTCCAGAGCATAAGGACTAAGACAGAAGGCGGTTTGTGTTACCACAGTTATGCAGGACGAAACGTAAACCAGTTGTGGCCTGCCAAGTGTTGAAGAGCTAAGGGACTAATTATATGGTGTTTGAAATGTTTCTAATCCCACATTATGCTGAAGAGAACATATGGAGACTTTCAAAAACTCCAAGAAGTGCTCCTGAACTTGCCACACTCAAAAACCCAGTCTGAGCTACATGTGATCCACAAAGTATATTGATCATAATGTCCATCTCTTTACTTTGCCTTTTTCCCACTCTTATTTGTTTCACTGTTTAAAAAAAAAATAGTATTGTTTTCTTTCCCTGTCAATCATGTAGCAAACTGAAAGTCTGTCAGTTTTAAATGAGGATTCGCAATGATGAGGATGCTTCAGTAGTCACAGTTTTGTAATCCTTTTTGCTGAGCTGCTCCTCACTGATGCCCTTTATCTTCTGAAATTGGGTCAGCTGGTTTGAGGTTTTGCCAGAGCTTCATGCTGTTAAAGCTACAGCAGATGAATCACCTATTGCCTAACTAAATTAAACTGAAATGTGCCATGGGCAGCATCCCATTACAGAAATATTCCCTACTACTACTTGTGTCAAAAATGGAAGGGATTGACTATATTACCCAGAGTAATCAATCAAATGAAAGGGAATATACGGCCTTGAGTTTCTGAGTGATTTTTGTTTTATAAAGAGTGGAGTATGTCACTGTTTCCCAAACTTGAGTGGGTACAGGAGTCATTTGAGTCCTGTTTTAAATGCAGACTCTGAACCCTCAGAACTGGATTGAGCCTGTACACTCCTAGAAGAGACAGGTGCTGCTGACTGTGTGCTTGGAGCAGCAAAATTGAGGAGAAAGTAACACCATGCTATATCCTGCAAGGCAGGTAGCTTCCATGAAAGTTCTCTGTTTAAGAATAGCAGTATAATCAGAGTAATATTTTATATGGCTTCTCTGCTTTATTCTCATTTTATCTCCAGCTTTTACATTTTATTCTCATTTTATCTTTACCTTTAGCACGAAAGCAGGAGATTATCAAGGTCACTGAACAATTGATTGAAGCCATCAACAATGGAGACTTTGAGGCTTACACGTGAGTACAAGCGCATTTATTTTACTTGCAAGTGCATGACACACGTATTTTCCATGTTAGTACATTCTTCAGTGTAACTGAACACATATGTTTCTAACACCAGCTTTTATCTGTTAACTGTAGTTTTATTTCAAGGCATGAGTGATTGAGTGCTTCCCAGAGAAAAACAAATGCAGTTAAGATTTCAGACAGATGATTGACTCATGATCCAAAGGAAGGGATTTCTTGGCAAGCATGCCGATATGTGACCACCTGTGTATCCATGTGAGAGGAAAGCATGCCTAACAGGACAATCACTAATAGCAACGAGACATTTTTTTTAAATGGCAAAGTAAATGAAAAGTGCAGTTTAGTTTGGTAAATGTTTTTCTTTGAAGCTCTGCATAGGTTCAAAGAAATAAATTAAGATGCAACAGCAGGTAACCTCCCTCTTCACCCAAGACAGCTCAGCTTTTCCTGCATCTCTTTCATGGGTTTGTTTTACATGAATAAGGGGTTCTGATGCCTAATGTAGTATTTATGAACTGCTAGCTCATTGGGTATTAAAGGAAATTGCATGGTTGATGTAAAAATAAAGCATTCAGTTTAAATAGGGCATGAAAGTTTATTGTACTATATGGATCAGTAAGTTAGCTATTTGGGAATAAAAATCTGCCTAAAGCTTATCCTTACTTCAGGCAACAAAATGAGATACATTCAAATAAAGGAGTTCAATGGAAAAATCATTGAATCTGATCTCAGAAAGATCTATAACAGCAGAAAAGGTAATCATAAATCAGAAGATAAAACTGTTAGTGTACCTAGGTTGATAACACTGGTATTATTTAATGAAAAATCCAAAAATATAAAACCAAAGGCAACCAGTAAACTAAGAAAAACCTTTGTAAGATGTGTGTCACAAGTTATTTTTTTCTATTGAGTTGATAAGATTGAGAAGTTAGAAAATATGAAAAGGACATGAACCTACTACTGGAAGAAGTAACAGACTATTGGAACTATAAATGACAAATACACTGTTGAAAGCACATTCTTTTCTGTTATTTACATATATACAAATTTGAGAGCAAGTGCGCTTTCTGCCCATAAAGCTCTGCCAAGGGGTGGGAGAGGGGCAGTGCATCAGACAGTGGTGACTTCTCTACCACAAGCTGTGGCATGAATGGGTGCAGACATGGAAGAAGACAGCAGTTCTCTACTAAAAAAATACTGTAACACCATACCATTCAGCCTGCTCTTTTTATTTATTTGTGTATTTTTGCTTTTACAATTTGTACCTGTCCAAAGAAAAGCACTAGTGGTTTGATTTTTTTAAAATCTGTCTTTGTAATAGCACTCTGCTATGGAATGATTAAAAAGTTGTGTTTTGTTATTGTTGGCTCAGGGTCTCAGGAAGCAATTGAAGCCCAGCAAAACTGAGTATTTTCTATATTCGCAAATTGTATGAATTAGGACATTTTAAATATTACAATACTTTGGGATCACATAAGCTCACTAATTCTGTAATCTGGCTGGATTTTGTACTTTCAGACATGGGAATAATTCAGTAGCACTTCTATCTGGGAATGTTTTGCCAGAACATATTGATGTAGCTCTGCCAGCCAGTCCTTAGAACACCTATTCACAGAATGTACCCACATATGCCAAATGGCATCTTGGTTCATTTTTATTAATCCAAGTATCCTGATCCAAGAGATAGATAGGTGATGGACAAACACAGATAGATTGATGGCAGGTAGGTATATAGATAGAGAGAAAGAGGGGGAAAGTGGGGGAAAGAAGGGAGGGAGAAGGAAGGAAGAAAGAAAAGAACAATGATTGAGTTAAAGACAGGGGGGAAAAAAAAGCTTACAATTACATTGGCTCATGAAGGCTGGGTAAAAATCTGTTATAGAACTTCGTGTTGAGAAAAGTGAAAGGAGATATGAAATTGTGTTTTACTAATCCACCCAAACCCATTACTTCACAGGAAACAACAACCTCCTGGAAGAATAAGTTCATGTTACTGTAGAAACACCACTCTTCCCATTTTGCTGTTTAGAAAGAGATCATACATATCTGACTTCAGGTTTAAACATAGCTGTGCAGTAAGGGAGGCTTGCCATCCCTACCCATCCCCCACTGCCAACTTTCTTCAATAAAACACCAGCTCCACATCTTTATGAAAACCCATAGTAAGCTGTACTCTTAAAATTTAACTTTCTGTTAAACAATTAAGAAATGTTCCTTCTAAGTATACTTCCACTATAAAATTACATGTGACCTCACCCACTGTTTTGCGCTTTAGAGAAACTTGATAAACAATTCAAAATTTTTTGCTTTGTACAACTTTACCTCCCTCATGACCTCATAGTAATTGTTCAAATGCAGATTTTGCTACTTCTGCAAAGCCTGCTATGATGCCTCACAAATCACAGGAACAATTCCATATCCACCCAACCTGACATTTCTAAAGAATTTACATACCTAGCCCAGTGATCCGATGCTGACCCTATCAAACATTTACCCAATCTTCTGTAAACACACCTTGCAGTTTCGCGTTAGCGTAACCTCACACCTGCTGCTTCCCTCCTGCCCTCCACCTTCCCCACACCTAGAAAGCCCTGGCTCATTCTAAAATTTTCTTGCTCTTAAATCTTTCCTGTAACATTATCTGTAAATAATGCAGTATCAAGCATTTTACATTCATCTCTATTCTGGTTTTAATTATTGTGTTATACTTGCTTATTTGGAAAAAATATATATTACATAGTAGTTTTTTATTTTTTTAAGATTTTTTTAGAAAGGCAGATATACAGAGAGAAGAAGATACAAAGAGAAAGAACTATATTCCAAATATAAAACACTGCAAATCGTATAAAATCATATTTGGTTCTGAAATTACATACTTTTGCAATAAATTTTGGTAGGTAACATCATCTCCATTCATGTTAGCCATCTGTACTGTAACTAACTAAAAAGAAGAATCACATTCTATACTTCCTGAATGAACTGTATAGAAGACTGAGTTAGGTTTTAAAGTTTATTTTCTTTGGTATTTTCTTTTACAGTTTATTTTAGTTTTCAAAGAAAGTTAGTAGGAAATCCAAATTAATATATATATATATATATATATTTTTTTTGCTTTGATCCTAGATTCAAGTAAGATTACAGTCTCAAAGTCAGTAGGCTTTCACTGGAGAATTTTTTTTAAAAAAAAGATTTATTTATCTATATGAAGGTCAGAGTTACAGAGAGAGAGGAGAGACACAGAAAGAGAGAGAATTTTCCATTCACTTGTTTACTTCCCAGATGCGCACAGTGGCCAGGGTTGGACATAGCCGAAGCAAATAGCCAGGAGTTTCCTCCAGGTCTTGCATGTGGATAGCAGGGGCCCAAGCACTTGGACCATCCTCATGCTTTTTCTGGGTCATTATTAAGAAGCTGGATCACACTGAAGCAGCTGGGACAGGACAAAGGGGAAGAACAAGAAAATTCACTTTGGCAATAAAAGTAGAAATTCTGAAAAGGAGATCCCTCAAGTTTTACAGGCAATTCTTTGCTTCAACCATGCTAACAGCATTCTCAGTAAAATGACTTGGAAGCCCACTCTTCAACTTTCCTTGCCAAAGTTTATAATAGACATGTTATATTTTGTTTAATGAAGTGTTTCATAGAGGTTCTTTCCTTCAACTGATAAGTAAGAATGCTTACATGTGAAACAAAATTTTAATGAATTTATGTATTGTTGTTTTCATTTTTTTTTTCCGACAGAAAAATCTGTGACCCAGGTCTTACTGCCTTTGAACCTGAAGCTTTGGGTAATTTAGTGGAAGGGATGGACTTTCACCGATTCTACTTTGAGAATGGTACATTTATTCTAAATTTAACAGTATGCCTTTTTTCTTCTTCTCCTTGAATTTTTCCTAAATTTTACAAGCTTTTTTTATATTTTCTGCAATGAGATTTCTTTTAACCTCCATTCCGCATTTAAATTGAAAACCGTGTATGTGACAGGCTTAAAAGTTTGGGTGTTGTGGAAAATAACTGAGTTTGTACAAAAGGAAATACCATCCCACATAAATGCATCCCACATAAATGTCTATGAATGCATAACATCAGTCAGATAATGAGTTGTCAAAAATATATTAATTCAAGGTTTTTTGAGGTTCTTTGTATGAAAAAGAAGCCATAATGTTTAACTTAGAAGCAGACTTTGAAACATATTCAGTGGTTATGGTACTTAAATTTGAAGTAACATACCAAGAAAGATGAGTGATCATATAGCATTTCTGTTCTTGTAAAAATTCTGGTGGTCTCAGGAAATCGCCATGTTTCAGAGGAAGTAGCACAAGAATTTCCTCCTGTAGAAATTCTTTCCAGCATCCAGAAAAGTATGAGTCAGGAATTTTCTTCATCCTTGTGCTTTTTCTTTATATCAAAGAACAGTAGACATTCTGTGGTCCTTAGCTCATACATGAAGTGAATCCACCCATTTTGCAGTGTGACTCCACTGAATTGAAGAGGAATTGTAGTTCCAATTAGGAGAGTCAAGTTCACTTCCAGTAATTATGAGCCTTAACCTGAATATCTGCTTTGGCATAGATTTAAAAAAAAAATGGAATGGATCACTTTTTTAAATATGTGCTAGATATCTCTAGACACATAAAAATAATTATGTGGTACATTTGCTTTAACAAACATTCAGTAAATGGTCTCATATTCTCTGTGTTTCAGCATTCTGGCATCATCTCCTGATGTTCTCTCCATCTAACACCCATTCAACATCATCTCATTTCTAATAAAATTCATTAATCCATTCATATTATGCCATTTGAGCATAACACTACAGACATTGTTATAATCTACGAGTACAGATTTTTCATAATAGGGCATTCTTGTTATGTGACTATGAGAATCAGGTGACATGAACATCAGTTGGTGTGATGTGCAATAAACATTTCTTGGTGACCAAATGAGTAGAATGGGAACCTACCATCCAGAAAATGGGGACTGGAGCTTGGTCAGAGCTTCACAGTTAAAGAGAATAGATTTAGGACCAGAGGTGAGCTCTATGGCCACTATTCGTTTTGGATTTTTACTAGATGATCACAACTAGGCGATCATGGATTTCACCATGATTTACCATTCTGAAGGCTCAGGACAAACTACATAAACAAACTCAGGCTTTCTCCAGCCTATTTTGAAGGTCATGATCTAGTAATAGAAACTAAATAGAAACAGTGTTACTTGATACCATAGTAATTTAATCATCTAAACAGTAGAAACTATTTAGTTCACCTGGCTGGGCCTTATCCGTCTCTATTTGTTATGACTTCCAGCTCTAACCACTCCTCATTATGAATAAGAAATTGGCACAGCTTTTCCCTTCAACCAAAATGTCCAAAGAAGCATGAAAATTTCCTGTACAGTCAATCAGAAGGTGGCTATCCACTCTGGTGCTATCTCTGTAGAGTGCCCAGAATTCAGTTAATGCAAACAATTGGTATATAATTAGTTAATTTGTCAATAGCAGAGAGTTTCCATTCATTGGTCCCAACATACTTTATTACTGATTTATATTTATTTTGCATATAAACTAAATTATTTTATTTTCATGTTATTCTCTTTCAGCTTTGTCAAAAAGCAATAAGCCAATCCACACTATTATCCTGAATCCTCATGTCCATCTGGTAGGGGATGATGCTGCCTGCATAGCATACATTAGGCTCACACAGTACATGGATGGCAGTGGAATGCCAAAGACAATGCAGTCAGAAGAGACCCGGGTGTGGCACCGCCGGGATGGCAAGTGGCAGAATGTTCATTTCCATCGCTCAGGCTCACCAACAATACCCATCAAGTAAATATTTCCATTCTACCAGCTATGTTCTTAATATACCCATGGTCAGATCCTGCTATTTATTCTGTGGTTATTAACATGCCATAGGTTGTTTAATGCTAATAGTTGCTTGTAGTGGTGAAAATATATGCCTTCAAGGACAGTGTCTACAATTCTATGGAAAAATCGATCAAATCAATCATTTGTGATTTGAAACTTGCCATAGAGCCCTATCTGATAGACTAGAAACTACAGACTGTACTGCCCAGCTTATTTCTCATAATGTTAAATCAGGAAAGCTCATGTAGTAAGGCAAAATATGTGTGACTTTATCTTCAGAAAGGAGGGGATTAGAAGGAAAACACAGTGAGAAGTTTCTGACATGGCCCATGTACTCTCCAGGAGCTTCCCTTCATGGATTCTCCTCGGGGACTTAGTAAGAGATATCAAGGTCTTAAATAATGAGTGAAATGTGCAGACATTGAACGATAGACCAAAGAGAAGATAGTCCTAGCTAAAGAGCACTTTGAGGAGAAGTACTGTGTCAGCATTTTAGCTCACTATGTTAGCATTATGTGAAGGAAGGCTGGCTCCAGCTAGAGTGAGTGTAAACAATAGGAAGAGGGGAATATCAGCAAAGTGTGGCAAGACGAAAATAAAGGAGAATTCAGATTCAGAAGCTTGATGCACTGCTGATCTCCTAAATTCTCCCACTTGGAACCCTGTCAATGTTTGGTGGTGTTGAGATGGTGCGTCAGTTCAATCCAGAGATTGCATCATGATTTCTTAGTCTAATGACCCACCAAAGTGGTTTTTAAAGGTCTCTGTAGCTTCAGTGACTACATACCACTATTGGATTTGAAACAGTGAATCAGTGAGGACAAAAATAAACCAAAACAAAGGACAGTGGATTAAAATTCATCCCTAAATCAGTAACTGTATAATTAAGAGAAAAATAAAAAGGATTAAGAAAACTCCAATTTTTGTGTCCAATATAGTTTTCACTAGAAAGAAGTACAGGACAAATTGCTGGTTATCATTGGAAGGAATCCATTCATACCATATGAGGGAGTTAGGTTTTGCTTCAATTCCCTCACGTGAGATAGAGCCTATTTAAGACAACTTCATTTTATGCCCACTGGCTTAAATGGGGCTTCTCTTAATAGGCCACCTTGTATTCCAAATGGGAAAGAAAACTACTCAGGAGGCACCTCTTTGTGGCAAAACATCTAAGGCTGCAAACCATTCACATATGGGTCTTGTAAGTAACATCCTGCTCCGTGATATTATGTGATTGGAGCTCGTGACTGAAAAGCTGCATGGCTCTTTATCTTCCCTTTCGAGGCTATTATATCTTGTATTATATACAATGAAGAAGCATACGGGGTTTTTTGAAAATTCATAACATGTTGCATGAGCTCTTGAATCTAATGTTCACCTGCCTTGTGTAGCATCCCTCTTAATACATTCAAGGTGTTAAACAGAAACTACAGACGAATCTGCTCTCAACACTTGGATGTTGTAATTTTAGAATCCTCCAGTTCTCACATCAGAAGTCAGTTATGTCCCATCATTTTCAGAAAACTCTCCAATTATTCAGACCTAATTTATCCCAAGTTTTAAAGTCCTTTGATGTCTTACTGTTTTTCAAGAGGTTGCAGTTCTTGCAAGCAGTTGGCAAAGGTTAATGTATAAATTAATTTGCTGTGCCTGACTCACTGCAGTCATTCTTAACCATGAAAACAGGCCACAAGAGAAAATCAAGCCAAAACGTAAAAATCACAAAATGGGTAATTCCAGAAGGATACTTGGAAGTTAACTGTAATTAAATTCATGCCCCTGTTTTTAAAGATTTGTATCTTAAACAAGGATTCAGATATGTATCCTGTTGTAGTGAATGCTTTCTCCATTCAGAACACTGTTATGAGAGCTTTAAAAAGCAGTGCTCTCAGTTGTTGCTATAAAAGCAGTGTTCCAGATGAATAAGAATAACCATGTTTCCTCTACTTTTAAAGCTATAGTCCTTGTGAGTTGAAGTCTAGGCCTGATTTCCCAAGGATCCTAAGAATAATGACACAACCTGGGATGAACTTGGGGTTTATTTCAACCAAACAATAATATAGATGATTTAGCCTATAAATACCTATTTAATAATGTGATTTGATTGCAGCTATAGTGCTGTGTTTTTATTTTTAGCTTTAAATTTTTGTAAACAAATCATACTGTTATATTAATATTATTTTTGACACTGTACTCATTTTAATGATTCAATTATTTTTTAAAAATTTTATTTATTTTTATTACAAAGTCAGATATACAGAGAGGAGGAGAGACAGAGAGGAAGATCTTCTGTCCAATGGTTCACTCCCCAAGTAACCACAACGGCTGGAACTGAGCCAATCCAAAGCCAGGAGCCAGGAGCTTCTTCCAGGTCTCCCACATGGGTGCAGGGTCCCAAAGCTTTGGGCTGTCCTTGACTGTTTTCCCAGGTTACAGGCAGGGAGCTGGATGGGAAGTGGAGCTGCCAGGATTAGAACCGGTGCCCATATGGGATCCTGGCGTGTTCAACACGAAGACTTTAACCGCTACGCTGTCGCACTGGGCCCAATTCAGTGTTCTTTTGTATGTAATTTTTGTCAGTCTCTTCTCTTTAGCTGAGTTCAAAAACTGTAGCCTGGTCCAATGTATAGCAAGACAATTTGGTAGTAATTTGGAAAACAATATATTATATTTCCTCCTCCCCCTTTCTCTTTTCAGCTAAATATCAACAGTGCCACTTCTGCGTTCTGTGTTCTCAAGGCACCCGGATGGTAACCCTGGACCGTCCTCTCCTGCTCTTCATGCATGTTTTTGAGTGCATGAAGTTGTGAAGGTCCTACATGTAATGCATATGTGATGCATCATCTTATCATATATTCCTTCCTATACATTGTTTACATTTCAACAAAGGGGATGTTCCATGCAAATGTAAATCACTGTTGGCAAACAACAGGGAGAGGTCAGACAAATTCCACAATCGAGTACAAGCTGTTCATCATGTTTCTGTTTATGCCAAGATGTAACAGACTTCAAATATTACTGCTCTCTGAATGACAGCTCGTAAAAGAAATGTAGATTGTTTTTTGAAACTCATTGCTGTTAATCTCTTTTGGCTTGTTTGGGGTTTTTTGTTTGTTTGTTTGTTTTTTAAAGCAAAAAAAAATATATATATATATATATATAAATATACTTTCAGTTTCCTGGTGTGAACCTGATTGAAATGAGTGATTTTTCACCGAAAGGTTGGCTGTTTAACAGTTGAAATGGGTTGATAGATGGGCAGAAGCACTTATGAATGTGGAAGCAAGAATCTGTTTGTTTGTTTCCATCTAAAGCCATGTCATTTTTGGTCAAACTGTTGTAAACTGGGAAAATCATTTATGAATTTGATCACTTTTCATCTATACTCACTATTCTGGTGAATTTGCCTAACTGAAAAAATCCCTCCCCCTGTTTTTCAACTCTGCTGTTTTCTTCATTGTATTCTAAGTCATTATTAGTTTTTGACTTTGACTTTGCATTTGTTTTAGCATTGTTCTCTTTTTCTTCTTCTTCTTCTTTTTTTTTTTTTTTTTTGGCTAGTGGTGTGTAAACAAAGAATAAAAGTGAAACGTACTTAATAAGAATACAATAAAAAGGCATTTGGAAGGGAAACTTTCACTTCTGTCATCTGCAGGACTTAGCAACGTTTTGTACAAGAAGATTTTAAAGGTGCTTTATCCAGAATTGGCAGTGGTTTGGACCTCAGTGTCCTAAGGAACCCAATTTTTAGAGCTGCAATAGAGGCAAGGAAGTCCTTCCCGTCACTGCAGCATGTACTATGACTGGGGCACTTGCCCAGCGAGAATAGAGCCAAGCACAGATGAGAATTTTGCTCAGATGCACTTGTTTCCACCTTGCAAAATGCTAGGGCCCCTCCTGCACATCACTAGCTCATTTCCTAAAGCTAGAGAGGATGTTATTGTTTCTTTCCAGTGTTCCAAACTTGACTTTTGTGGTTTTTTAGATTCTCTCTTGGATCAGAGTATCACTTTCCTCCTTGGAGCTGTGATTTTTTTCAACTTTAAAATTTAAAGAAAAGGGAAACATCCTGGGCTTTGTGCTTCTCATTTTACTTCTGTTGACTCAGTTTCTGTGAGGCTTTCTCTCTTCCTTGAAATGCTCTATAGTGCATGGAATCTCCATGGACGTTAATCTAAGGCTAGTCATCCATGGCCCTTAGAAACCTATTTTTTAAGCTTTAGGCAAAAGAAAAAAAAAGCCCTCTTTCATTTCACCTTTCTTTGTTGATTACTAATCACTGTAGATATTGTTGTTAGTGGATGTATGGTAGATGGGTTGAAGCTTTTCTGATAATTATTACACAATTTAAGACAATTATATATTTAAAATATATACAGCAAATGTATTGAGCCATGTTAACCTGCCAATGAGATCTGTGAAAAAGTAATGGCCTCATTTTTCCCTTTTTAATTTCTTTTACCTTTTTGTGAAGCGGCTATATGTGGCATACATGTATTTTTAAAAAATTAGCTGTAGAGTGGTTTTCTTTTTTTTACACTTTTAACAGCATGTGGTGTTGAAGTATTGTTGTAGATCAAGTTTGTTTTCCACACTAAGACATGAGGACATTGTGATTTGTTCCCTACGCCACAACTGAATTACACATTTATGATCTTCTCGTATCATTTTGAAACACTGCAGTTTACCATGGGACACTGTATATATTTCTTGCCATAATGGTAAATGACTGATTGATATATTTAAGAGTTAATAAATTTGTGATTTCTGCTGACAATGTGTCCATCTTTATTTCTTACAAAGAGGTGCTAAACTTAATGCTTGAATCGTGCTAGCCAATGCTGAAGGCACTGTCCCACTGTGGTCTCACCAAGCACATCACAACTTGCACTTGGTGTTAGTGGCAAGTTAAATGTTCTCTATGTACCAAACCATGGTCTCTCCTGGGAAAATGTGCTGAGAGTAAAATAGCTAACTGCCCACGAGTCCTAGAAACATTGAAATGTGAGCCCTGACATCTGTCCTTCACTGCTAGCATTTTCAGTTTCTAACTCAACACTGACCAGTACGTGCGTCAGTCCACATGCAGGTGAGTTAAGTGGACAGAAGTGCTCAACTTACTGCCATTTGCTAGAAGCATCACCTTCTCTCACATTTGTTTATGCTGTTTTATGTATGTTCTCCACCTGGAATATCTTTCTCCTACTTATTCGATCTGATTCTTTCTCATTCTTTAAAGTGCAGTTTAGAATATCAACCCCACCATCAGCATTTGGTAGAAAGTGCTCACAGCTTGCTTGAGCTGCTACTAACCATGTTGTTTCAGAAAAGGTCTTTATTTTTGCCTCCTGTACTGAAGGACAATGTTATTATAGTCATTCTGGTAGCTCTGAACTCAAACTAGGACCCAGAAGGGAGAAAATGTTATTAAATAGTTGATGAACTGAGAGAACTGAGACTAAACCATCTATGAGAACTATGGGAGCCTTAAAATGTAATCAGATAGTCCTGGGTTGATGTTACTATTGTCTTGATACCCGAGCAAACTGCTTCGTCCTTCTGAACCTGTTTCATATTTGTAAAAGAATATACATACTAATTTTACAAGTGTATTGTGAAAACTAGAGATTGTAGGTACCAATGGCCTGGAATAATCTTTAATGAAGATAAAATAGTAGCAGTTGTAATATTAATCACTGAAATTAATATAATATTGCTATGATTACTATTCCTTACTCAGGGAATATATAACTCTTATTTTGCTGTTGGCTGCTCTTTTCATATAGGATGATTGTTATTAATAAGGATATACACATATTCTAATGTCTTGGGAAGATGACAGAGGCACTGAAGAATGCTGCCATCCAACAAAAAAAAAGGGAGAAAAGGAAATGGAGTTAAATCAGTATATCTAGGAAAATTTTCCAGAAGTATCACTAAAATTTCAAGTTTATATGTAAATTAAATCATATATAATGTAAGTGCAAACATAGATGAATCAACCTTTGAACAATTGAATTAAATAAAATTCTGACTTCTACAAATACATCACAGTTTTGTGGTCTCCTTTGTCAGATTTGAAAAAGTGAAAAGTTTATACACAGATTGTAATGAGAATCAGTGTGTTCCTGTGATGTGAACAGTGCATGGTCATCAGCCGTGTTGGTCTAAGACACCAGCACGAGGTCCTTGCAGCATCTATGTTTTTCTCTCCAATGAAAGCAGAGCCTGAAAGCAAGCTGCAATGTTCTGCAGAGTCAAGTGAGAAAAATCGATAGCAGATTAATCATAATCTTACCCCAAAATGATTTGTATTTTAAAGGCATTTACTATTTTACAATGACAGTTGAACATGTCTGGATTAAAAAGTGTTTTTACAGGTTTTTTTTAATGAGTTACCCACATTTTAAAATTGGGTGTTTTGTGTAAACATCATCATTTCTGGCTTCATCTGTTTGAAAAATGATAAGATTCTGCTACACCAGCCACCAGTTCTTTATTCATGGTGGCAGTACTTACAGATTGACTCCACTTGTAGAGAAGGGCCTGTGCCTCACTCCTGGGAATGTGCCACTGGCTGTTGAGGCTTGACCCATATCCACACTCCTTGGCACAATGTAACCAGAAGAGAAGGCACACAACCATCTCAACAGAGATTATACGTGTGTGGCCACTCATCTCCCTCTCATACATTAAGGCTGATCTGAATCAAATACTAAATTCTTTTGTTCTTTCTCTTCCACTTTTCTACCAACTATTTCAGACAGTATTTGCTCTCCTCCACTGCCAACACTTCCTCCCTCATCTTCATTTAGGTGATAATCTTGTTTCCTGCTTCACTACAAGAAATGAAATTATTTCTGTGTCTCTGGCTTCACACTCTGCCTTTTCTTCTGTTACAATGGAGAAAGCTCTGGTAAAACCCAAAATATCTGTGTGCACCTATGTGTATCCTGAAACACTCAAAGACATTGTGCTAGCAACTCTGCCCGATTCAATGTATCCTATCCACTATGGTAGACAGCCCCACCAATGTCTTCATTTCTTTTGTAGCCAAACTGCTTGGGAAAGTTGCCTGTATTTGCTGCCTGTAGTTTCTTTCCTCAGGCTCTATAACCCATTCCAATTGCCCTTTCCCATTCACTAAACAGTTGTTCTCAAGGTAACTGATGATAACAAAGTTATTGAATCCAAAGATCAAGTTTTAGTCCTCACTTTACCTGATCTCTTAGCTGCATTTAATACAGATGTTCAGCATCTCAATTTTGAAATGCATGCATATCTTTCAGACATTGCATTTGTCAGATTTTCCTCCAGGTGTTTCCTCATACTCTCTAAAGTGGTCCCTGTTCATCAAACTGACTTATATTTTAGGAGTCTGTTTTCTATCTTCATTCACTCCAAGGATAATTGCAGCTAAACTCAATGGCCTTAAATTAAGTCACTGATTCTCAGAAGTGTATCTTCAACCTAGATCACCCTTCTTAACTCGAAAAATGTACAGAAACTACCTACTTGAAACCTACACTGTGTATCAAATAGACATCTCAAAATAGCATGTCAAAATTAGAGCTCCTGGTAGTCTGTGCCAAGACTTCCTCTCCCCACAGTTCTTTCTCTACATCTCAAGAATTGTCAATTCAATTCTTCCATTGGTCAGATCATAAACTCTGATATTATTTTTGATTCCTCCTTTCGTGTTTGAAATCCCATCGCTTTCAAACACAACCTGAAAGTGGCCACTTCTCATGATGCCTTTGGTTACCTCCTTGAACAAAGTCATCATCATTTTGCTGTGTCATTGGAATATCCTCCTAATTGCTCTTGTTTCTCTTTTCTCTGTGCTAAATCAAAAATGTTTGAGAATGAGCAGTTTCATATGCTAGTCAGAAGATAATCAGGTCCTAGGATAATAAGTTCTGCGTCTACCATCATCAGTTTGTAGAGAGAAGTTGGAAAATGTCCAACAGATCCTGGTGCTTAGAGCATAATGAAAACCTGAAGAGGAAATGATAAATTACTTAAATTGATCTTACACAAACTGCAGGTAAGAGCAGTAGGATGGTGCAAAGCAGGGAAAGTATTAAAGCATCTGGGCCATGTGGAGTTTTTCAGAAAAACTTCTACATAAACAAGTGGTGGCACCTGAGAGTTAGACACCAGGAGTTCTAAATACATATTTCAATGTTTACGGGTAAGGAACAATCTGGATTCTTGCTGTTGTTTGTTTCTAATTTGAGAAGCAGAATTCACATCTGGTTCACTCTCACCAAAGGGCCACAAGAGCTGGAAGTGAGCCATCAGAAAGCCAGGAGCTGGGATCTCAAGTCAAGGTCTTCTGCATAAATCACAGTGACTCAGCCACTTGAGACATCACCTGCTAGTTCTAATGGTGTGATTTAGCAGGAAGTTGGAGTCTGGAGCCCAGCTAGGACTCAAATCCGTTGGCTTTAATGAGGCGACAGGTGTACCAGTTAGCTAAACCACTGTGCCCAATGTCCATCCCTGGAACAGTCTGCTGCTGGCTTTGGCTTATCGCTGTTAAATGATTGACTCGCGTATCCTTTCTGCATATCATCCTCCATCCCTTGTACTTAAACTTAGACCTCAAAATATTTTCTTTGTCCTATCAATGCAGGAGTCAAAATGATCTTGCTGCAATATAAACTGAAATGTGTCATCCCTAAGCTAAAATTATCTGATACTTTCTGCTATCATTGAAAGTAAAAGCCATAGTCAGTTTCTAGAGTTGTCCTCCAAACTGTTAACTGAGGGTCTTTGCAATTGCTGTTTACTGTGCCTGAAATACTCATCAGAGATCCAAGTGGCTGGCTCCTGCATTTTTTTTATTCCTTTAAAAGATTAAGTTACCTTTTTTCAGTAAATACCTTCATTTACCATGAATCCCATTCAAGATTTCCAACTCCCTCTCCTAGTGAACTCTTCATAGTTTTCTTCCTTGATGTTTTTTTTCTCCTTAGCACTTAGTGCTTAACATACTACATTTCTCATTTTATTTTTCATACGTATCAATTGTCTCTTCCAGTAAAATACATATGCTGTGAGAGCAGAACTATTTTACTACTTTTTCATTGATGTGTTCTTATCAATGTCTGGAACGCACTAGCTGCCTAATAGAAATCGATGGCTGATTGCAGAATGAATCACTGGCTCTCCTGCTTTACAGTTGGAAAAGCTGAGGTTCTCAACACTTAAAGGAGTTGCCTCTGTTACAAATTTACAATTCCTGGGAGTTGTAAATTTCTTACATCATGGCCATTGGGGGTTAGGGGAGAACGGAAAGGAAAGAGGAAGGAAGAGAAAGTTCCACTAGGCTGACAAACAAGCTTTCGACATTCAAAAACTGAAAACAAATTCCAAGTTCTTTAAATAGTAAGGAAAGTGCATTCTTTCACAGAACAAGGGTTAGCGCCACCATGGATATTCAAGAAACAGTGGATGTCTAAATAAAGTTCACTTTGATTGCTTCCTCCCAGGAAGCTTGCAAATTAACATGGGGTATTATAAGTATATATGGAAATTTAGGAAAAAAACACATTGCTTTTATTGCTCCCTTTAAGGTGACTATTCTGTGGTGTATGTAATGACAGTTGTGAAATAATAAAATGTTGGGGAATGGATTGCTATTTTCTCCAAATTCAATCTCATCTGGTATCCTCTCATTGTGTTTCTGATGTGCACCACCAGGGCTTATAAATTCTTTCATCACATACCTGTCTGGGATTAGGAAAGTTTAGGCTTTTCATTCGCTTTGAAGTTCTTCCAGGAACTTTGGTTACAAGAAAGATCCAGTAAGCCAAAATTGCATCCCACTTGCCCTCTTTGCCCTGCCCTAACTTCAACAACAACAACAAATAATGAAGGGCATATGATACCTGAAAATATATGTAATGATTAGTATCCTTCAGTGCTGCTTTCCTTTCTTATTACTTTAAATTACCATGTCGAAAAGGGGTGTGCAAGGAGAAGCAACGAAGTAAAGTATCAACAGTCTCATTCAGAATCCACCCACTGAATTCCTGGCCAGCCAAGTGAACAGAAGAACCAGCCCTTGGTTCATCTTTAGAAGCTGTCTGAAGAAACAACCTGCTGTTGTGTGGGAAGAATGTTTAGCTAAGTGGCTTGTGATGGGGCGGTGTGATGTGCACAATGTATCCTTCTGACACAGTTGTTGCTCATCATGTGTGATTCAGAGACAACTTCCAATGAGGTAGGCTTGGTTAATCACTACATCTTTTTTTTTTTTTAAACATTTTTGTGTTTAATTAAAGGCAGAACAACAGAGAGAATAAGAGAGGGAAATTTTTGATCTACTGGTTCACTCCCCAAATGGCCACAATACTCAAATCTCAACAGGCTGAAGCCAGGAGCCAGAAATGTCGTATCATTCTCCCACACATTTGGCAGTAGCCCAGGTGTCTCCTGCATCTCAGGTACGCGAGCAAGCAACTTGATCTGAAGTGGAGTGCCCAGGACTCAAATTGGTGTTTCTATGTGGAATGCTGCACCACAATGTCTGCCCCTCACCCTCACCTTAGAAAAGCCTTAATTCACAGGCCTTACCTCCCTGTTTTGTCTGCTTTTTAGAGTTTGCCATATACACCCTTTCGCCACCTCCAAACAAAAGAATTAATGTTCGTCCTGTGCAGATTCCTATTTCTAGGACATGAAGCTGAGCTGATTCATTAAAAAATGGCAAGTTCACATTCCTACATCCCTTTCTTGAAAAACAAACCAAAACAAACAAAAAAATCCATTCCACTCTACAAAGGTTCAATATAGGCACATATGGAAGTACACATGTATGTGATATGATACAGAACAGTCATGTTAAAATAGGAAGCATG